ACTTCCTGATCTGGTCAGCCTGTCCATGTTTTGCATCCTCCCGCTGGGAAGCACAGGGCTCACTGCCAAACTGAAGCCCTCTGTTTTTCAATAGAAAATAGAGTAAATCAGGAAAATAAATCTTGATTTCTTCATCAGACTAGAGAGACTCTATTTTATTAAAGAACTTTTTCAGATCAGCCAAGTGCCTGACTTAAAGGCATAAAAATCAAGGTCTTTGCAATTTGGCCATATTTGGGGTTACAATGCACAGTAAAATGATGGCATTCAAAGCTTGCTGAGAGGTATCCACCAAATGCCAAGGCTGTGGTGCAGTCCAGAGATTGGGAATATTAGATTGCTAGACATGTGCAATAAACAGGATGTATGGTGAGAAGATTGTTTTGCTTTTTCCCCCTTCCCTGTCCTGAGCAAGCCTTCATTGTCAGCAGACAGTGTTTGCTTGTTGGCAGCAAGTGGGCCACGGCTGTACTCCAGGGCCTTGATCTGCCCTTTGGAAACTGGGGGGAAATAAAACATTGGTTGACTCCCAATCCAGCTGACAAATGCACACAAGTAGAGCTGTATGGGATAGAGGCCGTGCTCCTGAATTGCCTGACAGCTTCATCTGCCTCTTGCTGGATATTGGCCTGTGTGTGACCTGTGAAGCTCTGGGGACATGGGACAGTTTCGCTTCTCCCACTGGGAGATCCAACACCTGTAGATTGTTCTTGCTGCATCCTTCTTTGTCATGGCCTTTTACGTTGACAAAGCCAATGCAGCAGCAGAGATGCTAAGGTCAGAGATGTCTGCAGAGACACAAAAGTCAGCATCTGCAGTTGCTGGTTTTAATACATGATCATATGCAAGATGACATAGTTTGTGCTTCTTTGCTTGGAAGCTCATTTCCCCTCCTGCCTGCAGTTGTTAGCAGCCATGTGGCATCCTGACATTTCATCTTTATTAACTTCTTGACAGATAGCCTTTTGGGGCTTACTGGGAGATTAATTGTTTTCAGGAAGCTTTTAGACTGTTAGCAGGGTTTAATCTTTTCTTTCCCCATTCTTTCAAACAGGAGACTCTAATAAAGCACTATGAGATGTATTAAAATGCCCTGAGGATGCCAGGGACATTACTCCTAGTGTCCCCCAGTTCCTCTACTCTTTGCAGCCCACAGCTGAGAGCAACAAGGGTTGGTGGGGGGGACACAGTTTTGAGAAGGGCACTGGCTGCAGCCATCATTGCAGCCACTTCAGTTAGATTTTCCCAGTGGCATTTTTCCAGGGAAAAAAAGAGCTTACAAGCCTGGCTATTTTTTTTTATAGTCAATGCATGTGATTAGCAGTATTTATAAAAACTGTGCAGAAAACAGCATCTCAGGAAAAGGAAAAGAACATGCAGATGCACTGAGCGAAAGGAAAAATTAACAGACTTTGAAGTCAGCAAAAGTGCCTGATTAAGGATTTAAAAATCAGAATTTTGCAATTTGGCTGTGCTGTGGGTTTCTAAAGCATCATTCAGTGACGGCTTTTGAGACCTATGGAAGCTATTTTGTAAATGATTGCATGTGTAATACCATCTGAAGATACCAGTAACATAAGTGTTTTCAGGGTGGAAAGAGAGAATCTTCACAAGCAAAAATGTTAAAACAGAATATGGGTGATGAACTCATGGCAGCCCCCTCAAACATTTCCTCTCCCTCCTTATACATTTTGTGATTTCAGCATTTTCTTTGCATTGCCCATACATTTCTCTCTCTGGTTTGTTTACAGGTCTTTCTCTCAAACCATGAGATAAGGATTTAAAAGAATATTTTCCCATTCCTATTTATTATAAATGAGTAGCAAATTGCTCATTTCTTAAGTAATTCAAGCCCAGAAATTTTTTATTACCATAAGAATTTAAATTTCCCTTGTGCTTCGTTGCAGAACTAGATTTAATGGAACATAGAATGGGACTTATAGATATTTACTATTAATCTGTGAGTTCAAATGCAGATGGGCAGGATCTGAGGTGCTGTGATGATATCCTTGTTCAGGAGCCTCTACTATATTTTGGAAACCTCCAGAGTTTAATGATAAGGATTCCTAAACAATACTTTTCACCTGATGGCATATAGCTAGCTTATTTGTTCAGTCTCTGCAGACTGTTAAAAATGTGCACAGAGATTGTTTTCCATCCTTTTTTAGATGTAGTCCTCTCAGTTTAGCTGTGCTTATTTGTAACTATAAAGGGACTCCTTGGTAGTCTCCCTGCTGTACCCATAATGTGGTCTGGAGCACTCAGCGCTAACAATCCCGTTTCCACTGGGAATAACAAACACTGTAAATCAGGGACAGTCTGTCACACACAGGGGAGCATAGTAGCATGAGATTCCTCATTAGCTCTGACCATAGAAATACAGAAAAATAATTCCACTGCAGGGAGAGTGACACTAAATGACATCTGAACACCAGGACTTGAAAAGGTGTCAGCTTTTATCCAAGTGTTTTGTGCATTTTTAAAGCACACAAATGGAATGAATATGTCTAAATATTCATTGCTTAAGGTGCCTTTCTCTGACATCAAAAGCTGTGTACATAAATTCCCCATTTTATGTGATAGCTTTCATTATCTCTCCATCTGTAATCCACATCTCCTGCTAAGAGGGACAGAACTCCAATGCTCATTAGGACTCTCCCTTTAGAGGAAGCCAGGTGAAAAAGCCCTCATTTTTTATGCTATAGCAGAAGGTGAAAATGTTACCAGATTAACAATTCTTTCCAGCAGTGCTTTGGCTAGTCTCACCATGTAATTGAAAATTCATTGTAAGCAATCAAGCCCCATTATTTCCCACCCAGTAATCTTTACTTTTCAGTCCCTTACTCATCTGAAGACATACTTGCTAAGGAGAGGTGCAGAGTCAGCAGGAAAGATGGGCAACATGAATAATTAAAATAGAGGTCGAGTTTACATTTGCTACTGAAAAGAAATGGTTTGCACAAAAATAAGATGAAACAGGGCATCAGAGATGCTCCAGAAAGATGGCTGTTATGTCTGGTGGCATTTTTCCCTCCAGGAGGATTGTTCATGACAGAATCATAGAGGTATTTGGTTTGAATGGTGACCTATCATAGTATTATTTTGAAACATTTTGGTGTGGATAGCACTAGAGAGATGTATTTGGCAAAGGCAGAAACTGCTAAACAGTAGCAGCTAACTAATGAATGGAGATCTGCAGTGTGCACACATGAGAATTACCCCATGGAAAAGCAGATTTTACACAAAATATTATCTAAGTGACAAAGACAAGGACCCAGGAATCACGAAATTGAAAAATTAAGGTTAGATTTGATTTTTAATCTAGTTGTGCTATTAAATGATACCAAGTACTGTGTTTTCATGGCTTTCTTCTGAATTCAGTATTACAGTCGGACAGTGCACTTCTGTTCAGTACTTTTTCTTTCACTGTTCAATCTTTTTAACTTATTTTTACTTACTTTGCCAATTAAACAAATCTTCTTTTGAAAATAAGATTAATTTTCTCAGAACACTTAACATCCCAGCCTCATATTTTTGCAGATATTATTAAATTTATTTTCATGAACCACTCAGAGCCAAGGGGCCTGTTATCACCTCCCTTGTAGAGATGCAGCTGTGAGACACTGAGATTACAAAAATCTTATTTTGAATAATAAACTGTGAGAGACTATAGAGACCTTAACTTCTCAGTGTGCAGGGAATTACAAAACACACAAAGCATGACCAGCATTACTTTATTTGTATTGAGGGTTCAGCACATCTATAAATCCGAGTCTGAAAAAAAAACCAAAAAAACTTCATAAATCTAACGCATGACTATACTACTGGCAAGACTAGAGTCCAGTTTTCCAAACCAGCATTTTTCTGTCTGACCTTGTAATTTTCTGTAGCCTTTGCTTGGTACCTTCACATCTTTCAACACCCAAAACATGTAAAGCAAATGTTTTCCAGGCACCTCTTCTTCACAGAAAATAAGCCCAGAATATTTACAAATGATACAGTGACTTTAACATATTGAATGAGATAGGAATCCTGGGAAGAAAAAAAATAAAAGAGTATGTGGTTTTGCAATTACAGTCTGTCTCCTAATGCATTAGTATGAGAGGATTGAATAGAGAGCAAATAAGCAGCATGATCTCTCTTTTGCTCTAACTTCTTGATTGCTCTCCTACAATAATAATATCCCTTTCCTGTACTTCATACACAGTAAAGTACTTCCTATACTTTTTTCACACAGGCCTCTAATGGAAGAGCAAGAGATTCCATCACCAGTTACGATCACGTGCCATCAGCAGGGTGATAACTCCAGGCTCTCTTAGACTCTGCTACTGCCAGCAAGGGGATGGCTGATCTTGGCAGCAAAAGCTCAGGCATGGTGAGTCCCTGGAGGTACAGCTACCATGACACAGGGATATCGGACACTCTGTACAACACACTGGTAGACTGTAGTTGTCAGTCTAAATAAGCAGCTTATTAATCTTCAGTTTATGTATATTCCTCCACCCACTGAGTGTTGTTCTTCACTCTATAAATGACTGATGACTGATAATTTCACTTAAGAAATTAAGAAATGCCAAGGACCATACCTCAGGACAGGAACCATACAGTGTTTTGATGATGTGACCTCAAAACATCTATTATTCCCACATGGCTAACTAAATTAGGGCTACCCCAGCCAGCTCAAGCTGGATAGATGTGATGCTGAGCAGCAACCTGTGACCGACGTCTATTTCACTTTGAAAGTGACCGGCAAATACCAGCCGGCCAAGGTCAGGTGAGAATGACTGCAAAACCCTGGTATCTCTCCTTTTGAGCAAACAGCTCCGAATGAGCGTGTCGATTTTCAGCACTGGCGCCGTCCTTCTGGTTAAGCACCACTCAAGCGAAGAGCAGCCCACTTTTACTTGCGGTGGGACGCTGGGCCAGCACAACCCTTCGCTTCAGGAAGGTGTTTCCCGGGCCAGCGACCGCCTGTCGGGACGAGAGCCGTTCTCCCCGCACACGGCTTCCTCCTTCCCGGCCGCCCCTCCTCCTCCCCGCCCCCCCGCTCCAAGGCCGCTTCCTGCGCGCCGCCCCGCCCCGCCCCGCTCAGGACGTGCGTGGCGCGGCCATGGCGGCTGTGGACATCCGAGGTAGGCCCGGGGCGAGGGTGGTGCTCGGGGCTCTCTCCCTGAGGCTTCGGGGCGCTGCCCCCCGGCCTGGGCTCGGGGCGGCCGCAGGAGGGGGTCGGTGTGGTGGTGTGACGGTCCTTGGGAGCTGGAACTGCCGGCAGGAAAAGCTGCCCAAAAAGCAGCTTTCTTGGATGTGCGGCAGGCTGCGAGCGTGTGCTCAGGGCCGCCTGGGGAAAGCAAGCTTCTTTCTGGTAGATTCTGCCTTTTCAGGGGGAATAAAGAGGTCCTGCAATGAGATGGCGACCTAAGGGTGCAGCTAAAAAAGAGAGTTCCGGCTCTGAAGTGTGGGGGAAAGTGGGAAACGCTGGCGTGTGTGGGACTTGCACGGGACCGGAGCAGCGAGTGAGGCTGGTAACCTCAAGAGCGCTTAGGTGGGTGTGGTGAGGCAGACCAGGTGTTAGGAAAGCCAGAAAGAAAGCTGAAGTAACAAAAACCATTTGGATGTGGAGTCAGGGATATTAATAAAAAGAGAAGAAGTGATATTTGACTGATGTGTTAAAGAATATTTATGTTGTAAACAAAGTAGAAGTTAAATTGTTGTGAAGAGGTGGAGCTTTGAGAGAAGAAGTGGGAGTTCAGAGGCCACAGGAGAGGAAGTTATTTTTCTCCATAAGAGTGTCTGAATGGAATAACATCAGAAGCCTGTGTGGTGGAGTCTCAGAATGAACAAGAGCAAGTATTTAAGGAAATCTCATGAAGGGTCAGTTTTGATAATGCCACAGAGGTTCTCTCCTTTTTTGTCTTCAAGTTCTTAATGATTATGTGTAGTCCTGTGTGTTTTTCTGACTGCCTTGTTTGAGATTACACGAAGGAACTAGGTAGACAGTAGATGGAGGAGTGCTGTATTAAGTTATTTGCTGATCTGAGAACCTTCTGTCTTACTCCAGATAATTTAAGCTCCTTCGAAGTCTTTAATATAGTTCAATATATTAAGTAGATTTTGAGGCATACTTCTATTTTTAATCTATCTGCAGTGGATTAACCCTGGCTGGATGCCAGGTACCCACTAAAGCCACTTTGTCACCCCCTTTCTCAACCAGACAGGTGAGAGAGGCTATAATGAAAGGCTTGTGGATTGAGTTCAGGGCAGGGAGAGATCACTCATCAGTTACTGTTCTGGGCAAAACAGACTTGATTTGGGGAAATTAATTGAATTTATTACCAATTAGATCAGAGGAAGATAATGAGAAATAAAACCAAATCTTAAAAACACCTCCACTGGGCTTAACTTCACCCTGAAATGCTTGAACTTCTCTCCCCCAAGCAGCAGAGGTGAACAGGGAATGATGTTGTGATCAGTTCATGCATGTTGACCCTGCCACTCTGTCCTCCTCACCAGGAGGACTCTTGACAGTCTTCACTGCTCCGTGGTGGGATCCCTCCCAGAGGAGATAATCCTTCATGAATTTCTCCAATGCTGTTGTTCTGAAATGGGCTTTTTCACCTGGTAGAAGAAGCCCATCCACACAACAGAGTTGAGGTATCTGATTTACTGCTCTTAAATTCTGTACCAGCCTACACGCCTGAGAACAAGGCTTCTTTACAGGTATTAAATTCATATTGGTACTCTGAGCAGCAGTCAGTACTGTGTCCAGGATGTCCTTTTCAGGTTCATTTGAGATCTGGTTCATTGATAAGCAGATTTGAGTTTTCCATGCCTTTTTCTGTGAGACGCATAGCTATACACAGTTCTCAAAAAAAGTTACTTGAGCATTCAGTTTGCATGGTAAGTCTTGTCCTGACAATGGAAGGGGACATTCTGGCATATAGAAACTCGTGAGTCATGTCCAGTTGGGACAGTCCACGAGCTGTAAGAATGGCCATAAAACCCTTTTTCCCATTGCCTCAGCGATCGGTATTGTAACTTTACTTTAAAGCAGGGCCTTGCCTCTGTTTATTCCTGAATATGAAGTCTGTTGTTTCATTTTCTGGTTGTACTGGAGCTACGAGGTCTGCCAGGAATGCCTTGACGTTTTCCACCCATCCCCTCCTCTCACAGTCAGAAATAACATTTACATCTAATTGTCCCTTCCTGCCTACCAAGAGTACGTTGATTCAGGCCAAAGGGTGGGAGCCCTTTCAGACCCCAGTGCCCCCTGCCTATTCCTCTCCTTTCATCTTCTTTAGTACCATTCTCTTCTTCTTCACCATAAACAGGTATTCAATGTAGCCTGCATAACTCCCCAAATTAGGGTTATTAGTCAATATGACAGTTTCCAAAAGCTGATACATTCTAGTGAAACAGATTTAAGCCTAGCCACTTTGGTTAAGTATTTAAAAAATGAATGGGACTCAGGTAAGGGTGAAGCTGATAATAATATTCCCTGAATTTGGGGAACATAAAGGTTAGAAGTTAAGGTAGAGTCTTGGATGATCAATGGGTCTACCTATGAAAAACCGTCCCAGATTCTTCTGCACGACACATCAAAACCAGTAGTGAAAAATCCAAAATTTTGCAGCTCTGAAAAATGGAATTGTTAGTATAATTTTACTGTGTATCCCTTTGGGCCTACCATCATGTGGGACTGTCATTTAAATTCAAAATAGATATTACTGAAACTACAATAACTGCATTTTCACCAATCCAAGAGTATTAGAATATTTTATCTCCACAAATTTTTGAAATCAGGCCATGTGTGATCTAAAATACTGGTCATCAAGAAATTCTGTTTCATCCATCTTGGTCTCTGAAATTGGTAGAAGTTATAATGCTGATCAATATTTGGCACTTAATCCAACCCGCTCAGAGTTTTTAAGTACCTTCTGTGCAGGATGGTTCTTGGTTACACAGGCAATCCCTCACTTTTCCAAAATTACCAAGATTTTTGCAGCACCCAGCGCTGGGTCAGGATGGACAAGTGCCCCTTGTCACAGGGAGCATGGTCTGTGACCTGCCTTACCCTCTGGGCCAGCTTTGAGGCTGCTTTGCCCAGGTGAACATGACCTGGAAGCTCTGCAGGGCCTGGCGGCTCGTGGGGCTGCTTGGCGTGGCTTGTATTGCACTTGGCATCGGAGGGATGTGAACAAAGTGCTCCAGCATGGGTCTCTCAGAGGGTCACAAGTCCTGCCAGCAAACCTGCTCCAGCTTGGGCTCCTCTGTCCAAGGGAGCAGAGGTCCTGTCAGGAGCCTGCGCCAGCATGGCTTCCCATGGGGTCACATCCTCCCTTGGGATCCACCTGCTCCAGTGGGGGGTCCTCCAGGGGCTGCAGCTGAATCTCTGCTCCACTGTGGATCTCCATGGGCTGCAGGGGGACAGCCACCTTATCATGGACTGTGCTTGTCTCTGCAGGACATGGGGGAGCTTCCAGAAGCTTCTCACTGAAGCCACCCCTGTAACTCCGCCTGCCAAGCCTGGTCAGGCAAGCCCAATACACTGTCAGGCTATTTTACTGTTCCTCTTGGTTTGTCAAAGCTTAGTGCTGGGCTACCTGGCCAACAAGGCCAGGTTCAGCACATTGTGTGAATTACTCTTCTTTTTTGCCTAGGATTGCTGGCTTGTCTTCCAAATTGTCTTGAAAATCATGACAGATTGGCAGTATTGTCACAAGCACTTTACTTTTGTATTTGTGATGCAAATTCCACAAAAAATGCTTTGCACAAGATGTTCTATTTTTGAAAGGAACAGGGAAGCAGGAATGCCATCCTTTCTTATACCCAAAATAAACAGTACACCCTTCAGTATGACAGCTATGTCAGGTTCATGGTTTGTTTTATTCTTCCTCTCCTCTTTCCAAGAATAGTTAAGAGAACAATCTTGCTAGTTATGAAGGCAATTATAAATACTGGCACTAAGCAGCTGTGGATAATTGAGTCTTAGAGTCCAACTTTATATTCCATTTTATGATACATTTACATTATACATTTCAGAGTCTATGTACAGCATGATAGCTATGTATATCTCTCTCTCTCTAAAACTCACCTGACAATCCTCTGAGAAATGCAGGTATTGTTAATCATACAAACAAAGAAAGTTTGTATTTGAAGTATAATGTGAGAGCTTATTATGAGAAGAATGCAAGTGCTTAAGATTTTAAGATTTTTTGAAAGGAGAGCTCTTTTGGATTTGAATGGCGTTTGGAATAAACAGCATTACCACAACTTGGGTACTTAATCATGGATCTTAGTGCCATGTTTCTGAGATTTCCTTTTCTGTAGTGAGGAGAGAGAATAGTCTATGTGAAATAATTTGAATGCCTCTAGACTTCTCCATCCCTTTCCCTGCCCTGCATGAAACAGTTGGGCTAAAAATTCTGAGATTAGGAAAAATGGTTTACATGTAGCTATTTCTGTTGAATTTTTCCTGGTTTGCTAAGCAGGTAGTGTTGCTTTATAACTCTTCCTCAGAGAAGCTGCTAGTAGTGTATGAGCTGATATTTTTGAAAGTGATCCAATGATCCTTGAGCATGCTGAATTGTCACAGAAGTAAAATATTCTCATTGGAATGATAAGTGCGAGTTCAGGGTGTGTATATGATGTGTGAACTTTAGGGAGTGGTTCCCGTGAGTAGGGAATTTGAGATCTTCGATCAGTCTTCAATGACTTCTCATCACTTAGGGTTTTTTAATTTAAACAATGCATGTCTCTTCCTGCTTTCTTGTGTCTAGGAAATTCTGTTTGCTGCTGCTGTGATTTAAAATCAATGAATTTCAGGGGTTTTTTTCCAAGCTTCCTCCTGGATCTCCAGTGTTAGCAAATTTGTTGCCTGTGGAACTGGTTGTTGACACTGCTTTCTTTGATGTGCCTGAAGAACATTTTGCTGCAGCATGATAACAAAATGCAGGGACTTTAATTCGTATTTCCCTAAATCTGTAAGAATTTAGCTGGCCTATTATGACTTGTAGGTTATAAAGTATGTTCATTTAAAAAGCTTGCTTTTCTTTATATAATTGTTAGTGTTCGGTAGTTTGATAGCTGTAATATCCACTGAATTATAGAACAAGTAATTTGCTGTAGGCAATTTGGCAGATTAATTTTTGAGTCAGGAGTAGAATCTCTTATTCAAGATTACTAGGAAGCATCTGCCCAAAAGCAGCATCTTTGTGTTTGCTGTTGGTTTTTAGGTTGTGTTGGGGGTTTTGTTTGTTTGTTTGTTTTTGTATACTACTAAGAGACCTGCAGAAGGTTAAAGGTTATCAATTATTATTTGAACTCCATGAAATTCTTTCATGTTAAGTGGTATGTTTGTGTTCCATCTCCTTTCTCTGCTGTAATTGTTAACTCCTGTCAATTTACTCTTGGATGTATTTGTAGTGTTTTTGACTGCTTTGGTACTCAATGTAGATTTATTTTTCCAGATAATCTGTTGGGAATTTCCTGGGTTGACAGCTCCTGGATTCCAATATTAAACAATGGGAGCGTGTTGGACTATTTCTCAGAGCGAAGTAACCCTTTCTATGACCGAACATGTAACAATGAAGTCGTCAAAATGCAGCGGATGACCCTGGACCATTTGAAGTAAGTTGTAATTTGCATGTGGCTGATGTGCAGTATCCCTTGTCCCTCCATTCAGAGGCTTTGGTGACTGAATGGAAGCATGCTGGAAAGCTCATTCTGTTCTGTGCTTTTTAGTCCCACCACTTTCCAGTGAGGCCAGCTTTTTCTGTATTTGGATGTTTTCTACTTAAGCCATCTCAATTAGGTGTTAAGCTTGAAGGATTCTGTGTATCTTTTGAGATTCCAGTAAATCACCCTTTAGATATTTCTCTGACATAGAAAAGCTGTCTTCTCTCATCCTCCCTGCTCAACAGCACCTGAGTAGTGTAAATGCTTTTTCTGCAGTGAATAGAGTTTATGTTAGGGGATACTTTGAGTTCATAAATAGTGTGTGTTTCCATATACTGCTGGCTCTGTGCCATAATTAGTACATAATTGCTCCAAAGAGCTGGCTTTTTACTATGGATAATAAGAGTAGTGAGTGTTGTAAATAAACTGATCACATATGGTTGTGTATTGAGATTGCATGTGCAAGTTAACTTTCTTTTCAGTTCCCCATCTGCTATGCTGAGCACAAGCGAGTGTTTGAGAGCTATTTAAAGACTCCACAATATGATGGGGAGTTTGCAAGCAGAGCTAGAAGTCCATTGGTAAAGTCACTTGTGCTCAGTGTTGTTGCAGAGAGGTCTTTACATCAGACACACAGATGGTCACAGCATACACCAGTTCTTTGTTGCTGTATTTAAATGACATCTCCACGATGATAGGTTGTTATCTTTCTTGCTATTTATCTGTTGCTAATATATTCTACTTGTGTTGTGTCAGGTTGTTACAATTCCCCTTTTCTATGCACCTAGGGTTTGTTAGCTAGCTCAGGAAATCCTTTGCCTTTATTTACTGCACATTATAAAGAAGAGCTTTCAAAGCATCAGAACTTTGTTGCTTTATTGCCGGGCCCTTTGGTCGCTCTTCACATCCTACGGATTTTACTTGGAGGAAGATATTTACTCTGGTTGTTTCTTTCTCAGCCAGATGGTTGGAGTGGAGTACATCCTTCTCCATGCTCAAGAGCCCATTCTCTTCATTATCCGAAAGCAGCAAAGGCAATCTCCAACACAAGGTACAGTCACTCACTTCTTGCCTCTGTTGTGAAGCCAAATCAGTCAGTTGTTTTTATCAGTTCCTAAATTGTGTCTAAGCATTTCTGCTTCCCCTTTTCTGTCTTAATCTCCAGTCTAATTGGGAGGGTATGATGCTTTGTGGTGGGGGGAGATCCTTTCTGCAGCGGTTCCCTGCAGTGTGCCGGTGGCAGGGAGTGCCATCTTGTGGGGAAATGGGAACAGTGAATGAGAGTGCTGCCTTGTGCTACATTTTCCTACAGGAAATTGCTAATAGCATTCATTCCATTTATCTGTTAGGCCATGCAAGAGTGTCCATGTCGTGTTGGGATGGAGTCTTGTGGTAACAGCACCATTCCTTCCTGTAGTGTCACTTCCCAGTTTTTAAATTGAACACCTTAGCTTTTTTTTCCCCATCTGCAGGCAACTGGCTTCATTATTCCTTTTTAACCTTGAATTTGTTTGTGTATGTGTGATTAATCAAATATGTAGCCACATTTCAATAGTTATTTGATTGTCTTATCTGTTTACTACATGTTCATATAACATAATTTAGGTTTTTTCAGAGTAAGCTTTGTAGGAAAGAAAGGCAGGATTAGTGCTGGTTATTTCTTAAATTCTTTTTCTTAGGAGTTTAGGTTCTGTATATGCATTTTGGTCTTTACAGGGCTTTGCCTTGTCTTGTAATGTTTCTTATTTGCTTATATCAAATAATGGTCTGTTTACATTGCAGTTCCAAATTGAGAAAACATGTATGATTGATTCTTTAGTACATTGTTTGAGTTATTTCTTTATTAGAGATTTTCAACATAGCTTCTGAAAACGAGTATAGAATTATCATACAGCCCTTAATTTCTGGCTTTGACACCTTTTAGATTGAGACTGGAGTTGGAGCTACCACAGTATGTGTGTTTATGCTGTAAGGCAGATGTATGTTTGGTGGAACTTAACTGAGACTTGTTTGGTAATGTTTTTCCCGCTGTGACTGTAAAGTTTGTGCTGGGTACCTTAACTGAGTTGCAGAGTTCCCTAGCTGAGATGTTTCCATGCGTTTTATTTCATTGTGGTACAAAAATTAGTGTATTTGAGACATGGGAATGGGGATGTAAAGCTGAAATTTAATTAGTTCCTAGCTAGTGTAGAATACTCAAATACAACTGATGAAGGCCTGTGTGTTTTTAAAACATTTTAAATTCTTGAAGACAGGCTTTTGCCTGATTGAAGTGATATTATAAAAATCCTTAGATTATTGATTAGGGAGTGTTGCCTGTCTAGGAGAGTAGGTCCCGGTACAGAGCTGTGAGACAGTAAAACTGCAGTTCTGTGTCTTGCTCCATTTGTAAAGAAGTGCTAAGCATCCTTTTTCTCTTGAGAAGAAGTGGGTACTGGCTGTAATACTGTCTGGGACTGCTAATTTAGGCAGGTGTCCAAGCTTCATAAAATGCAAGTACTGGGTGAATTGTTAGTAGAGATGGAGGAACTGGAACACATGTGTGCACAGGTCATGTCCTTAGGAATGTGAAGCTGGGAGCATTGCTATGGTTTCTCAATTGAACAGTGTTCAGCAGAGTTACAGAGGCAGCTGTAATGTTCCTCTGCACTGCAGCTCTAATGAACAAGAATTTTTGATTGGTCAGTAGATGTTGCAAATCTGATTTAGCAAATGCCTTTGGAAGGTAGTCTTTTTTTAGCAGAATGTTACTAATTTAGAAAAGCACACTCTGTGTGTGCTTCACTCCATTGGGTCTGGGAAATCTAGCTGAGAGGACTGTAGAAGTTAGAGAAAGCTGACTCCAGAACAATGGTATCTTACATTATAGTGGGTTTCTACTGGTAGCCAAGGCTAGTAGAATTACTTCCAGAGCAGTTCACTTGACTAGTAGTAGCTCTAGTGTACTCTGAAAACCCCAGTTCTGTGAAGCAAATCATTTGCTTGCAGTAGGACAGGACTTTACAGCACATGCTTTTCTATCTGTAAAGCACACATTGGTTTTTCTCTCCTTATCAGTCTGTGCCTAAGGTGCAAATAAAGCACCTTGAAGGAAAAGGTTAACAAGAGAAAATTTTGTGATAAGAAAAATACTGCAATTTTTCAGTTCCTGCTACGACTGAAATTCAGCAACAAATACACAGTCTTTGGCCAGAGCTTTAAATTGATCCCACATCTTTCTCCTTTTTCTTCCCACAGTTATGCCATTGGCTGACTACTACATTATTGCTGGAGTGATTTATCAAGCACCTGACTTAGGATCTGTCATTAACTCCAGAGTTGTAAGTGTTCTGTGCATTTGATGTGTACTGGTTTATATCCGTTTTTACTTTTGGTTGCCCCCCGGTCTGTTTAAATATCTCCTTCACCATTCTGAGGAAAGATCTTGTGTAGTAAGGGTGCAGTAACTTAAAACAAGCCCCACTGGTTAATCCCCACGTGTGGGGATCCCACGTGAAAGTGCAGGATCTTGTGAGTGCGCAGTATTGCCCAGAAACTAGGATTCTTTATTTAAGGATGAAGGATCAGAATAACCGAAGCTACACAATTGGCAGAACAGCATGAAGTTTGAATAATCAGAATTTTAAAATTATTTGACATACGTATGTAATAATAATTAAATATATAATCAGTGAAGCTTGCTTTGGAAAGTTAATGTTAAGGTAATGTAATATTTATTTTTAAATGAGGTATATGTTTTCAGTTGCTGTGGTATTTCTTCTCAAATTGGATGCTCAAGTTTGTTTTCATTCCTTCTGTTCTCGTAAACTATTGGTTTTTTGCAAGTTTTTCTCTGTCAATTTAGAAAAGCACTTCAGAAGAGCCTTGTGAGAACCTGTTAAATTGCATTCTCAGTCCAAAACTGGATATTCCAAGCTCCCTTTCCAGAACAAAAATGAATATAGAATATTAATTTTAAAATACCTACTTTCAAAAGATTACATTGTGTTTGCTCCTTGAGTTCTGAACACTGCCTTACATTCTTGTTCTGAAAGCTCACTGCAGTGCATGGAATTCAGTCGGCTTTTGAAGAAGCTATGTCCTACTGTCGCTATCACCCATCCAAGGGCTACTGGTGGCATTTCAAAGATGAGGAAGAACGAGGTATGATTGCTAGTTTCTCCTGCATACTTTGGGAGAGGAAAGGAACGTAGGGAAAAGCTTGAGGCAATGCACAGCGATGGTGGAGAGGTGAGATGAAGTGCCTGAAGGGTAAGTTAGGGCTCTCTACTATGTGAAAGGAATTTTGCCCTTCTGTGCTGGTGGGAATGAATATCAAGGCATGGGTGGGAGATGAAAATAATGAACTGTGTGTTAACAAAGTGGGCAACTCTTCAACCCACTGGGGACCAAAACCCATTTTCAGAAGCCAAACCAGTTTGTCAGGAGGTAAGAATCATCCTTAATCTGTCTTCCACAAAAAAACCCCAAACCTTATGTCAGTAAGAAAATGGAGGTGAAGTTCAGAGGAGAGACAAATACCAACTTGTCATACAACAAAGAGCTGATAAGAGAAAATAAATTTTAATACATCTTTCTCTAATATTTCTGTGACTTGCAGAGAAAACTAAACCAAAAGCCAAGAAGAAAGAGGAACCAAGCTCTATTTTCCAAAGACAACGAGTAGATGCTTTGCTTTTAGACCTAAGACAAAAGTTTCCACCCAGATTTGTTCAGGTATGACACTCAAAAGCTACACTTTTACTGTAACTTAGAACTTAAAAGACAATCATAGGTATTTAAACAGGTGAAACTGAATTGGAATTCTGTTTATTTCTGAAATAGTAATATGGATTAGATAACGAACTTGACATGGAAGGCTCATATAAGAGTGTAGGATCTCTGTTTGTAATCACTGGAGTCATTAAGACCTTGGCAAAACTATGACAGTGAATTTTATTATACACCTTCCTTATCTGATCACAGAGGGTCTGTTCTCAGCTATCTGATGTTGCTGCTGCTTCCAGTTTCTTCCTTTGTGAACTCAATCAAGCCATCACAGTATTTTTAGTTACTCCATTGTTCTAGAGACTCATTAGTTAGTGTGGAAATTCTTGGCATTCTGTGAAGTTGTTGTAGTTACCTCTGATTGTCTTTGGTAGCCATTTGTTCCACCAAGTCTTCTGCTTGGGAGCAAAGGAAATTGTTTACAGCATCTCACAGAAGTGCTCCTCAGCCAGTTCTGGGAAAGACTGGCTAACTGGATATTTTTGTCTTCAGTGTTTTTCAGTTGTCAGGGGAAAAACTGGATGTTATAAAATATTAACTGGATTTTGTTTAAAGTGTATTTAGTGACCCATTCTACCCTCACCTCTTACATATAAGAGTGCATTGCTTGCATTTAATTCCTAAATTAATGGCAGGAAGGGTTGAGAATTACAACTTTGGTTCCACTGATGTGTTGGTTTTCTTTCTTCCCTCACAGCAAAAGCCCGGAGAAAAGCCTGTCCCAGGTAAAACTGTAATATTTTCACAAGAATTAAAAAATAGGCTCTGTATGCAGTATCTTTCAGTTGCCATGTAAGCTCTTGCTGATGCTACTGTGAGGTGATTTAGAATTCTGGCATTACCTAGTTGTGCAAAGTAATGGATAAGAGTGAAGATTTTGAGTTGATCATAGGCAACCTCCAAACAGGAAAGGCATGAACTGTATCACTTCAATCTCTTCCACCTTTTAACTCATATAAGTATGAATTTATTCTCTTCTTATTATTCTTACACCTTTGAAATTAATGTTGCCCTTGTGACATTAACAATATTTTCTAAATACTAAAGATTGTTTTAGGAATGAAAATCAGAGGTTTAACTTTCTTTTGCTGTTACATCTTTAGTGGATCAAATCAAAAAGGAACCAGAACCAGTCCCTGAAACTGTCAAGACAGAGGAAAAAGAGACTGTAAAGAATGCTCAGAGTGCTGGTGCTAAAGGGCCACCTGAAAAACGAATGAGACTCCAGTGAAGAGAGAAGCTGTTGCACATCTGGATTAGTCAGAACCTGGAAAACAGAAGATTCTTGCTCCCTTTTATTTATATTTAAGCTCTTCCACTGAGACTGATAATTCAGGGACTGAGATTCCTGTAACAGCTTTTTCTGTAGAAACCTCTCATGCAAATGTTGATGTCAAGATGTGAGCTGCTTTAAAGGAGCTGTTTTCAGTCGTCATCTTATTTTGAATGCTGACTTGTGAGAATGGTTTTTACGTGGACATGTTCAGCAGCTTCCTGAAATCTTTACAAACTCCTGCATCCTTTGTGTCTAGGTTTCCTTTGTAAAAAGAAAAAAACCCCTTTTGTATATAAAAAGGAATTTGAATTCTTGGCAAATAAAGCTCCTGGCTGCTGGAATGCCTTTCTTAAATGTATACTTTGTTAGTAGCAAATATGTCATATGTGCTGGCAGCTTTTTTTTTTTTCCTTTTTTTTTTTTTTTTTGCTTGGACATTGGAATATATTGTCTTCTATTTTGAGGAGGAAAAGTTAGGTTACCCACTATAAATTGCTGTGCCTCTAGTGTGCTTGGGATAAAGACAAAAGATTTGCTAACTGGACCTTCAAATCCATGTAGTTAGATGTCAGAATGGTCACAATTTCTAGATATTCTTGGACACGGGTTGTACTTAATGGTTAAGCTAATAGTTTTATTATAGAAGTAAGTGTTTTGGGAGAGAGATTTATGGCGTAAAACAGGCTAAGATCTCTTGATGCTGCACACTCAGGGAAGCTGTTTATATTTCTGATTTTCCACTGTAACTCAAATATATCTATCACATCTCTTCCTCTGTGCTCCTGGCACTTCCTTGCTCCATTAGACATGTGCCTTTTAGACTTGCGGAAGTGGGTCAGAGGAAGAGAAACATCACTGACACCTATACACTTATTTAAGCATGTTGCTTACATAAAGCTTTTTTTTTCTAAGAAAAATTAGAAATCATCTGTTGAAAAGAAATTACTTTTAGTTTGGTTTTGGTTTTTCACTGAAGTAATGGAGTGAACCTTGAAATAGTTTGCTTTCTTTCCACAACTGTTACCTGTTTTCATGCAGTAAACTGTAGTTAGCAAGAAAAAGGTTTGTACACAGCAACCAAAATGTAGATAGGCAGAAAGACTAAAGTATGCTTCAATACCTGTGTCAAATTTATCTTCAGGTTACAAGACACTCTTTTTCAGTAACGTAGCTCTCCAGTCAGAGCTGTTTATTACTGAATGATAGAAGGACGTGTCAGGGCTATTTATTACTGAATGATAGAAAGATCCATGTCATTTTTGTTGTATAATCCAAAGCTGTAATGTTAAAAGATGCAGATATGCCAATAGCTGTTCTCAGTTAATGCAGATACAGATCTGAAATTCATATATTCATGTACTTGATGTGTATTAGGTTTATTTCAAAGCTGGATCAGGTTTGAACAGCCATTTCTCAAAATGTTGATAAAAGTAGATAAGAAAATAGTGTGAACTATCAGATCAAGTGAAAATATAGAAAGCAGTTACTCTGGGATGTTCAAAACCATACAAGGTGGTGTGAATATACTTAGAACAACAGGGTTTTGGTTCTTTCTTGTATTACAGAAATTTCTTTGAAAACAAGTAGTAGAAGAAGCACAAAAGCCATTCCCTCATCCACCCCCATGAAGGAAATGCAGGATTTCCAGAAATGAGACATGAATGGTGAGGCACCTCAGCAGTCCTTGCTGTGGATGGCCAAAAAAAAGTCCTTGGAAATGGCCATTAAATGAGCTGAGAACCTGTATGTAATTTGGAAAAAGTTACCAAGCCACATGACAGACTGCACTTAATGAAGATCTAGGGTATTGGGCTTTGGTTGTGTGTGGGTTTTTTGGTGTTTGGGTTTTTTTTGTTTGTTTGGTTTGGTTTGTTTTATTAATGGAGAAGATAATCTATTCATGCATCTAAGGAAATATTTAACACTACTAGCAGAAGAAAGCTTGCTTATTGCTGAAGGCATATACAGCTGTGGCAAAAAATGAATGCTGCAAGATAGTGTGAGCAAAATATTCTGTCAGTCACTGGACTTCACCTGAAATAAAGTGTGTTGTGCAATTCAGTGTCTGAAAAGGAATTTCCCTGAAGTAGAAGGGTTTGAATAAGGGCAGTAAAATGAGTAGGACAGAGGTTTTTCCTATGATGGTACTGGGAAGACAAATATTAAGTCTTTATAAAACTGAATAGTATAACAAATAGCAAAGTAGAGGACTCTTGTTCTGTCTTGTACTACAAGAGAGAGACATGTAAATGAAGGTGAATTGGAGTTACATTTGGACTGAACCATTATACTCCATCTGAGAATTTGAGCTGATCAGAGGTAAAGATGGAACATGAAGGGGCAGATTGTCCTCACATTTATATCTCTCAGCAGCCTTTCTGTCTTCTGCAGAAATGCCTGGTGTTGGCTGGTGTCAAAGGGCGTTAAAAGGGATGGATTCCTGGTCTGATCCCATCTGAATTAAAGTGCCAGCACCTAAACTACTGAGAGAATAGCACATGGCTTCCAATCATGAAACAAGCATTTGAATGTGATAAACTTTTTCCAGGGGAACGATCTTTCCCTGGAAAGGAAGTTACATTTTCAAACAGTAAGGAATGTTACCAGTGTGTTGATTTCCTAGTAGCTGTCCAGTGCTGAAGGTTTGCCATATGGGGAACTGAAAGATCTGATCCTGTTACTTGCTGACCAGATATTCTACAATAATTTCATCAGTTAAGGGAGCTGAGATATTAATTTACTGAAGTGACATTATGTCAGATATTACTGTTGAAATGTTAAGCAGATTATCTTGTAGTCAGTAATGTTTTTCAGTGCATGAAAACCTAAGCCTTTTCGCTCTTGGTGTGGAGTCTGACTGCGACATCCAAAGTGCTTCCAAACGACATTCAGTATTTTTAGCTTGTAGATGAAAGGGAAAGACGCAAGCACTTCTGAAATTTGTTTGTGCGTCACTTTCTTCTGTGTAAAGGAGAGATTTGGATGAACAAGAGAACTTTCTCTACATTTTGCTCTTAGATAATAACCATTCAGACTTCAAAAGGGCTTTTCTTTGCCTAAATCATGGAGTAGCAGGAGCTGAACATTACCTGGAACTCTTAACAGAAACAATTTTCCTCAGAGCCTGAAAGTACATATAAATATTTGCATACCCATGAACAGTTATGTATATTTCTATGTACGTGTGTGTATATGTACACATGCCTGCAAAAATCCAGCTAGACTGTAGGAGAGGGGTACTCTGGCTGTCTCAGTTTGCTGTGTAAAGCTAATGGTGTCTCAGGGGCAGCAGAAATACTGCCTTTGTCATCTTTTCATTAAGTAAGGTCTGACCAGGCTATATGTTGCTCTCACACATTCCTCTTTGCCACTCTGCCCCCATACTTCATATTTTGGTAGCCCTTTCCTAGGAAAGAAAGATGCCATTTGGTCAGTCATTACCAGAGCAAGCTGTTCTTGGAGCAAGAAGGGTATAGGCAATAGGAGGGACAAGGCAAAGGGGATAATTAGCTTTATACTAATACTTTGAGACCTGAGTATTTTCTAGTCTTAACTGTATAGTTATGTTTATATTAAAAGAGAAAGTAAGTAGTAGGCAACTTCATGTCAAGGGATGGAAGGGGTGATAAGACATGACTGTTGCAAATTAGCAGAGTGATTTAGTAGGGTCTTTTGTATAATTAAGGAGTGATCACACAGCAGAAGTTTGCATTTAAAAACAGCACTACAGACTGCATGCAGATTAGGTAACAGGATTTTTCCATTACTCTGGTCTGGGTTATATTTATTTCAAGAGACATAATCTGATGTAGTTCTCAATACTGAAATGCAAAACTGATAATTGAAAAAGAGTGGACAAGCATTCAACAACTAGCTGCACATAAAAGACTTCAGAAACAGTTTATATAATTTTAAAACCAATAGGAAAATAAATGTAACGCTAAAATGGAAAGGTCATGAGTTTGGATGGATATCCAGAAAGATCTTCCTAGATGGATCCTACTAGAAGCAGGCATCCTGTATTCATTCCTTTAGTCTAAGTGTATTACAAGGTCTGTGCTGCTAATGCTGGCCATGCTTGCAAGGTACCAAACCACAGAATCTGCAGCATGCTGGTAATCTCCACAGCTGTTAATTAGACCTGCCATGTGCACAGCATAACGTACCAGCCCTTTCAGGACCCTGGGGCATAAGGCAGTAGAAGGAGGCTCTGAGCATTCTGCCAGCTGCTTCTTTCTTTCTTGCCCAGCCTCTGGAAGGAAAGTGCCTCTCTCCAGTAGTTTGAAATGTTAGGTGTTGCTGCCTCTGCCAGGGTGATGGCCAGCACACAGAAGCTGGTGACAAAAAGCAGGATTCCTGAGATGGTATGGTAGAAGGATACACCTCCTGCAGTTGAGAAAGATAAGGGCCATAGCAGGTTGGATTTCATCCCAAACGTGCTTGTGGCGCTGAAAAGAAATTTGTGAAGAGTTCCTAAAAGGCAAGAGCTGTGGCTATGTTGAATCCCAGCACTATGTGCTAGAAAACCAGCATGCATATCTGTGTTGTACAGGACATCGTGTCTTACCACCCAGATCGCTGTCTTATGGTTGTGTCTTGCCAGAGCTGAACCCAAAATGGGGATGGTAGCCAGTGGTAGATGTACCGGTAAGTGTTCTCTTTCCAGTGCTATGAAAACACAAGTACTTAGAGAGGACATGATGTGGGAAAATGGCTGCAGCATAAGTGCTGTCTGTATTAACATGCATTGCTGTAGGTATGTAGCAGCTGTGGTGTAGATAGGGTTGAGGATTTTATACTTGGTACTATTAGTTTACATCTATATTATGGAATGTAGTGGAAGTGAATTCTCCCCTGGTTCTACCTTTTTTCTTGGAGGGTGTGTATGCTGTAGTAGGGATGTGCTAAGGTCACCACAGGGACTATTTCTGTACTTACTCATTTCTAACTCTAAGCCATAGCCTGTTTCTGATGTCCACTCACAAATTATCCTGTAATAAAAACAGCAAAAAAAGCAAAAACCAACCCTTTGAGATTTCAAAACAGATTTTCCCACTTGTGGTCTACCCAAATTGCTCAACACAAACATCTATGACAAGGACTGTGAAGCTGAACTGGGGGTTGTCCTTGCTATGTCTGCTCAGAGGGAGAAATACCCATTAATGTGAAATGAAAATTATTAAAAGCTAAGAACGTGTTTGTGAGAGGCAAATTTACTGATTCCTCCTCACAAGGGCCTCTGTTCTGGCTCAAAGAGCAGGGTGGGCTGTCCGGAGGCCCGGGCAGCGCTCGCCGATGCCGCAGGTGCCGTTTCCCGGGGAGTGGGCCCGGCCCGGCCGGCACGGCGGCAGTTGGAGCCTCGGGGCGGTTCCGCCCGGGCTGGGCCCTTCCAGGTTCTACCCCCGCTCGGGCGGGGGCGGCCGGTGCCGGCGGCCGCGATGGGGCCGCTGCCGGGGCTCCTGCTGCTGCTGCTGGGCGTGGCGGGGTGCCCCGGGGCCCGGGGGGCCCGGCCCGCGGAGCCGCGCGCCGCCTGGGTGACGGTGCCGCGGCAGCTGAGCCCCCGGGGCGACCAGGACACCCCGGCCCTTTCCTACTGGCTGAACGTGGCCGGGCGGCCGCGGGTGCTGCGCCTGCAGCCCAGGAGGGGCCTGGTCTCCCGCCCCTTCACCCTGGTCACCTACGGCCGGGATGGGGCCCGCCGGGAGGAGCACCCCTTCGTGCGGGACAACTGCTTCTACCAGGGCGACGTGGTGGGGAGCCCCGGCTCCCTTGTGGGCCTCAGCACCTGCGGCAGGGGCCTCCACGGCGTGCTCTGGGTGGAGGATGATACCTACCAGATCGAGCCCGTCCCCAATGATCCGGCCTTCCGGCACATTCTCTACCGCATGGAGGAGGACAACAGCCCCGAGGGAACCAGCTGCGGGCTGACGCCGGAGGTGCTGCAGCAACAAAAGGCTGTGCTGCCGTGGTTCAAAGCTCCCAAGGCAGTGGACGAGAACGAAAAGCTGAAGGACTGGTGGACACACATCAGGTATGTGAAGATGGTAGTGGTCGTGGACCACGTGCGGTTTGTGAAGTCAGGCAGGAGCAAATCCCAAGTCTTGAAGGAGGTCATGCAAGTCATCAATCTTGGGGACATTTTGTACAAACAGCTTTCTGTCCGGCTCTTTCTTATAGGATTGGAGATCTGGACTGAAAATAACTTTATAAATATTACCAACTCTATTCCCAAGGTACTTAGTGACTTTAACGCCTGGAGAAAGTCAAACCTGTTACCTCGCATGTACCACGATGTTGCTCACTTATTTGCATTCCAGTGGTTTGGAAGCAGCCTGGGATTGGCATATATAGGGGCAGTGTGTGATAGCCACTGGGCAGCGTCTGTTGTTTCCTTCACTACAAAAAAGTTGTCTTCACTTATTATCACATTTGTCCATGAGCTGGGCCATAATCTTGGGATGGTCCACGATAAACCAGAATGTAATTGCAAACGCAAGACGTGCATTATGTATGAAAATAATGCTGAAACGGATTCATTCAGTGACTGCAGTTACAAAGAGTACTTTGAGCTGGTCGTAAATGGTGCTCCGTGCCTTCGTCAGCCACCAGCACCTGGCACTTTCTACACCGGGAAAAGTGAATACTGTGGGAATAAGATAGTAGAAAGTGGAGAGCAATGTGACTGTGGTTCAGCAGCAAGCTGCCGAAGAGATCCTTGTTGCCGCGCAAACTGTACATTTACTGCAGGTTCAGACTGTGCATCTGGAAAATGCTGCAAGAACTGTAAGGTCCTTCCAGCAGGAACACTCTGCAGAGCAAGTAGTGGCAGCTGTGACCTGCCAGAGTATTGCAATGGGATTTCCCCTCAGTGCCCACTGGATGTATACCTACAAGATGGAGCTCCTTGCAATGATGGTGTTTATTGCTATCAAGGAAAGTGTTCTTCCCACAGAGAAAAGTGCCAGCATCTCTTTGGCAGACAAGCCAAGGTTGCCCCTTTAGATTGCTTCAAAGCAGTGAATACTCAAGGTGACCGGTTTGGGAATTGTGGTATTCGTGACAATATCTATTTTGAAAAATGCAGTATGAAGAATGTCTTGTGTGGTAGGATTCAATGTGAAAACATCGCCAGAATACCTTTCTTGCAGAACCATGTAACAGTAGTCCAAACTCCCGTTCGAGACACAAATTGTTGGGGTCTCGACTATCACGTAGGGATACCAAGAGCAGATGAGGGAGCTGTGGAAGATGGCACACCATGTGGTAGTGATATGCTTTGTATCAACAGGACGTGTATGAGTGTATTAGTGCTGAACTACGACTGCAACACGACAAAGTGTCATGACAGAGGAGTGTGTAACAATCGCAAGAACTGTCACTGTGAGTATGGCTGGGCTCCTCCGTATTGTGAATTGGAAGGATATGGAGGTAGCATTGACAGTGGACCCCCTCCAGCCAAGAACACTGAGAGAGCAAAAGTAAGACTAGCACTATTTGGGTTTTTTTTTGTGTGTATTGTTGGAGTAGCCCTTTCCATCCGTTTTAGACAGAAAGTAGCGGGATGGCTTGCGAAGATAAAAGCCCAATTCCATAGAATATTGCAATTATTTCAAAGACTGAAAAAAAGACAAGTTCGTAAAGGAAACTCGCCTGCTGGTGAGTGAAAATCCACCAAAGATAAAAAGGCAGTATCTTTGGATTCTCTTGAGGAAATACCCCTTTAGCAGAGCCATCTGATAACGCATCAAAATAATTCAGCAGGTTCTGAACAGCTCTAATCTCATGTGATATCATTAAATGCAGAGTAAATCTTATCTCTGTATATTTTCTTTCAAGTTAATAAATGCAGGCAGTAAGGCATGCTGTTCTTTGTACCCTGAGCTCTTAAACTGATGTAATTAAGTAAACTGCAGATATTGTGTTTATGCTTCATATCAACAGTATAAAAATGCAAACTTCTTAAAATAGGTGTAGATAGATGTTTTTTATGTGGTAGGATTCAGTGTGAAAACTTAGTCAAAATATCTTTCTTGCAGAACCATGTAACTCTAGTCCCAAACTCCTGTTCGAGATAAAAATTGTTGGGGTCTCGACTATCACGTAGGGATGCCAAGAGCAGATGTCAAACTACTTGCTACTCTACTTGCTTCAATTTCCTCCTTCACCTAATGTTTTCCTCAATTCAGTGAGAGAGATGTTTGTGAACATCTTTTGTCATTGGTTAACAGTAAAAGAGAAAAAATTGCACTTGCAGTCTCCAGGCAAACCGTTCTGTGTCTCTGTGATTTAATTTACATCTGTGACACACAGACAGGTAAGGAACAGGTATTGCAGTGAGATACAGGTGTCTGTTTCACAAATGCTTCCAGCTGTTTACAGGGAGTAGCCTTCAGAAAGGAGGTGGACCATAGGGACCAGGGTCTTCCTTTTGTGGAAGAGTAGAGAAGGATTATCCAGATCACAACCAGAAAGCATTGCATTTCTGAACCATAAAATATGTGTCAACAGTGTAGTGACTCCAAATCTGGCATTTCACAAGAACAAACTGTTTTTATTTCCTGGAAATTTTCCATTGTCTTGACTGTTGACTGCTTCTGAGAAGTGCTATGTATTTTATTTTCTCTGAGAGGAGCTGTCTGTGGGGCTCCCCAAGTTAACTGAATTTCTAAAGTATTTGGAATTATTCTGCAAGTCTCCCCTACCTAGAATATCTGCAATATATGATACATACTTTATCTGACTATCTTAGGGGGTTTCTTTTGGCTTATTCTCTGATTCTTTCTTCAGCTATAACAGAATGTGTCCTTGCAGCTCTATGGAGTGCTACACAGAACATTGTAATTTTAATTTTTTTAACATAACATAAAAGATGCCTAAATTCTGAAAAATATTAGGGACATGGAAATACCATTCAGTAAGTTTTATTGTTATTATTTGTATTACAGCAGTAATTACACCGTTCTATCAGATCAGCATGAAGAGGGGTCTGTAGTCCAGATCACAGTTAATCCTTTTTTTTAAAGGTGTTTCAGGATAAAGAGCAAGTGCTATAATGTATAATGCACTTGTCTGCTAACAAAAGAATTATTTGTATTTAGAAAATAAAGAGCACACTTTTAGCAAACATTCTGTAAAGGAAGGGTTCCCAACACTTGGGAACATTTGGGAAGAAAGATATTGGTGACTATACAAATTATTATGGTCAACTCTTTCTGCTTCCCAAATATATAATATATGTTTTTAGAATATGTATTAAACTGTAATTTTTTATGTGTATTTTTTGGTGTCCTGTATCCAGAAAGGATAATTACATTATGATGGGATGTGAAATACAAAGCACATGATTCACAGTTTTTCCCAGCTTTTTGTCTAGAGCAGATAGGTCCTTAAATATTTATCTAGGCTGTCTGCAGAAATGAGGTAACACATTGTTTGTTTAGGCTGTGCTTATTGTCATGATAGAATATGGATGGTTTTGATTAGATGATGAAAACTTGGTCCTGCATTTGTGTCAAAAGGCAAGATAACTGCCCTTGACTAACACCACATCTGTTCCTCATAACTAGAGACCTCTTTTGGGGACTGGGGGAGTGGGAGGGGTGTCCTCTGAGAAATAACAATTGTAATTCAGGTGTTGCAAACAAGGGATAAAAGACAGACAAGAGAGATGTGAATTAATTGAAAGATGGAGATAAAAAGTAATAAAAGCACTACACCCAGCACCTTCCAACTACCTATGCACATCTAGTACCTGCTAAGACTTTTTTTATTTTGCTTTTTAAACACAAAAAGAGTGGCAGAAGTGTCAGGTTGCCACCTTGATGGCCTGCCATTGTTGATCAATAGTATAATATAAATTCCCAAGTATAGATCTATTCTGAGACAGAGAAACACCAGAGTCAGGGAGTTCTTGTTTACAGACCTGCATACTGAAGAGACAGAGGTGTAAATGAAAGCACATTTGGCCCAGAAAGCTTACTTGCAAATGCAGTTTTGGGAAAGATAAAGTAATAAAATTCTGTAGTTTCTGTTTTTCTCTATGCTTAAAGATGGTTCTGCAAAACCAGTACTTAATTGGGAGGAGGCTTTCAGTGAGCTTTGGATAAGAGTATTTCTGTATACTTTTATTCCATTTCTTCTTGGGCCCTATGAGCAAGACAAACGTGTATCTAACAAACCTACTCTATATTTCATAAAATGTGTAAGCTCCCTTTCTGAGATTTTCTCCTTGAAAATATTGTTGTTTCTGATTTCAACACAATGAAAAACTCGATGTTTCTGGTGGTTTGTTAGAAATGCCCCACTACTCTGAAGGTGCTGTGAAGGTGCAGGTCTAAGGTCAGTCCTAACCTTTCTGGTTTCCCTTTTTTTCCCCTCCTGGTTCTAACTGCATTTTAAAATGCTTTAAATGGATGTGAGAACTTGGTTAATATCTAAGTCATTTGTACATGAAGAGGCAATTTGCAAATGTTGCTGCACCATCTCCCAAGAGATGTGGGTCCCTGTAGTACATGAAATGGTGCTGGAGGAAATAAGAAGACACAAGCTGGACTAGTGGAACCCCATTGCAGGGGGGTTGGAACTAGATGATCTTAAATGTCCCTTCCAAACCAAGCCATTCTCTGGTTCTGGGAAATGGTCTGTGCCAGTGCAGTAAGGGTATTAAGGCTTGGGTAGCTGTTAATATGTGGCAGGCCAGTCATGACAGGTGATGCCTGGAACTGCCTAGGACTGGGAAGTTACAATATACCCATGTTTCCTGTTTGAAATCTCTTCCTGGCTAAAGAAAACTTTTAAAAACTCTTAACACTGCAGTTATCTCAGATCAAGATAAAATTTGTTTTGTTCTAAGCCAAGGCTGTCATCTCTAAAATACATTAAATTGCTGCTAAGGAACACTGTGTATCTTGAAGGAGTTTGCCAAGTACCTTGCAGCTGCTTGCTCACTCTTCTCCCATCCCTCCCACTCAGGGAAGGAGATTCAGAAAGAAAAGGTAAACCTTGTGGGTTGAGATAAAAACAGTTTAAGAATTGAAACAACTAAAATAATAATGATAATAATAATAATAATAATAATATTGAAAGTTGAGAGTAACAGAACCAGAGAAACAAGTGAAGCACAGTACAATTGCTCACCACATGCTGCCTGATACCCAGCCTGTCCCAGAATGTGTTGGGCCCCCTTACAAATAACTTTCCCAGCTTATATACTGGACATTCTGTGCTATGAAATATCCTTTTGTCCACCTGTCCTGGCCATGCTCCCTCCCAGCTTTTGTGCACCTCCCCACTGGCAGTGTATGAGACCCTGGGAAGTTCTCAACTTAGGGCAAATGCTACTTCGCAACAACAAAAAAGTCGATCACACGAGTCATGGTTTTGCTCATCACTGCAAGTGTAATTGGCCCTTGAATGCCTGTCTCCCACCTCTGAGGCAGGTGTTATAACACTCAGTTTAGCACTAAGCATTAATGTTGTAGCAGTCAGATCCAGTGTCCAGGTTGTCTCTCCCTATTAAATTCAGTGCAGATAATCTTGGAATTAATGCAGTCAAAAGCATCTTATCTTTAGTGCAATACCAAACAAATAAAATGGTAGTGTAACATTGAGGACCAGGTAAGCTGGTCCTCATTTTCATCAGAGAGCTTCCTGCAGCGTGTAGATGTGGCTGTCCTCATAGTGCCAAGCAGTCAGGTGGTTCAGCTGACATTGTTCCCTGTTGTCATTGTCTGTATTGACACGCTTGTAGCATGTGATGAAATAGATAAGGATAAATTTTTCCTTGCTATTTCCCGATAATCTATTGGGTCAATAAACCCTGAGGTACAGAGTCCTGGGCTCAAGTGGCTCCTCTCTTACCCAGCAAGTTGAACTACTTTGCCCTTTATTGCTAGGTAATTACCTAGAGTTCTGTAGAGTTCTGAGGATATTTCTCAAATCCTCAAACCAAACACCTTCTGCAGGATCTAGTTAAGTATTTCTTGCCCCAGCAGCAGCACGGTGTTTCTATCCACCGTTTGTGTTTCTGAATTTAGATCACTTTATTGCACCGCAGGGTAACTCGGCGTTGGCGTGGATGCTCTCTGTGCTACTTGCCTGTATTGGGCTTTTGTTCCTGCCCAGCACGGTATGATCTGTTTTTCAGTTTGCTGTGAGGACAGTTAAAAGGGCTGGGAACAGGTCATACCTCTCCCTTCTTCTGTCCTACGCCTACCCCAGACAACTACGGCCTATTCCTTAACCTTCTCAAGGAAACCAGCTCCAGCCTGGGGAGCAGGGCGAGGCACAGATGCCGCGCAGGGGCCTGGGAAGGTGCGGGGGCAGGAGGACGCTGTGCCGGGCTCCCCTGGGCTCGCTGCTCTTCCGTCTCTGCGGTGAGCGCCGGTGGCGGCCCCGGCGCGGGTGGGAGCAGCCCCGTCCCGCGGGGACTACAACTCCCAGCGCTCCGCGGCGCGGCGCGGCCCGGCGGCGGCCCAGTAGGTGAGAGCGGCTGCCCCGGGAGCCGAGTTCTCCTGCAGGCCGCAGCATGAACGGCAGCGTGGCGGGCGGCGGCTACGCCGAGGAGATCATCAGCCTCACCCGCAGACCCTCAGGTAAGGTGGGGGCGGCCTCTCCGCGCTGGGTCCGCGGCCCCTCCCGGCCCGGGGCAGCCGCGCCGAGGCCTGCGCAGCCCCCCGCGAGGCCGGAGCGGAAGCCCGGGGTCGCGGCGGCCGGCGGGACGGCCGAGGCGAGCACCGGAGCGGCGGAGGGAGCGTCCCGGCGGTGGGGATAGAAGCGCAGCGCCCAGAGGTGCCGGGCCCAGGGGCCTCCCCTGGAGATAGCCGTGGCGGATACGCTGCTGCGGGAAAAGCTCGTGCCCTGCGTGAGGGAGGGCTGGCTGGGTCAGAGTCCGTCCTCTGCGGGAGCTCCGGTAGAGGCTGGTGTGCCTGCGGACAACTCGCCTCCGGTTTTCCCTGGAAGTTGCCATCTCCGGTGGAGCTGTTGCTTCCAAGTGAGGCGGCAGCCGCTGAGCGCCCAGCCGCGTTGGATACCCTGAGTCAGGGGCCATTTGAAAATCACGTGCCCGAGTGGCCGTCCCCTGTTGTCACCTTGGCGTTCATTGTGCAGCGTACCTGCGATGCTTTGGGGTGGGTAGGGAGAGGGGCATAGGCTGGAAGGAGGAGGGAATAGGGCAGTTCGTGGGGCATTTTTTGGCTTTGCTTTTCATGTGTCAACAGCAGGTGCGCTCATGGAAACCGTACTTTTTTTATAGGATTTATGGTGCCACTCAAATGACACTTTCAGAAGTGAGGCAAGTTAGCATGAAATGGACAGCTCTGGAGCAAAATCCTGGCTATAGAGTATGTCAGGCTCCAGGAAGGCTTTTGGAGCTAGAGCTGTACTTCGGTGTTTGAGGCCTTCTCTTTAATTTAAAGGAGTAGGAATGAAAGCGTGGCAGCCCTTTTGTTGTGCACAACTGCTGGGTGCGGCTGCTGGCCAGCCTTGGCTCCAGGGGCTCCCCAGAGACCCCAGCACCCGCATTGTTGGTGTGTGTTTCCTTTCTCTGGGGTGGAGGTGGGCCCTGTGCGGGGCTGGTGTTGGTCCCGGCTCTCATGCTGGTGATCAGGACCCAGAGGGTGTGAGCAGCCCTTTGCCTCCCCTGCTCGCCAGATTGGTGTCTGCTCTGAAAGATGTGTAGCCCTACCTGCATAGCCATGAGGTTAAACTAATGAAGCTGTGCTGGCCAGGGAAAACTGTGCTAAATGAAGCTGGTTCCGATGGGAGTGCTGTTTCCATACATCTGTGGAGCTAAATTTTTAAGGAAAGTGCAAGGGAATGTTAAAGGGCAGAGTTGAGAATGGTCTTGAATGTGAGCACTGTGATTTCAGTCTCGATTACCATGAGCAGCATTTGTCCAGTCATTGAGACGGGCTGTGCATCTTTATATTTAGGTTTCTAACTATGTTATTTGATTTGAAGGTCCTACATCCCCTTCTGGCCTTGATGTGCTTGCCATGTGAATTATTACTCATTTCTGTGGAAGGAACAAAACACATTCCTGTGAAGTACAATTGGGTACTGTAATCTCTTGAATTGGAGTTTTGACTGCAGCTTTTAAAATAGGTCTGATGCTAAACATCTCTGGCAAAAGTTTGCATTGGTTGTGAATGTATTTCAAGTGGCAGGACAGTGTATATTTGTCTTTTTCAAATTTTCATGTGTTATCTTGTATATCAGTCTCTCATTTCCTAATCCTGCCAGTCCTGTTTTTTAAGGCAGGGGAACTTTTGAGGGACTTTTTTAGTTCAGAGGGGGTAAGTGAGGCACAGGACAGTTTGCAGCCTCAGGGAGGGTCAGTAGTTTAGCCCAGTGCCTGCTTTTAAAGCTCTGCCATTCTGCTTCTGGACCATTACAGACAAGAGATTTAGTGCTATGTGCTCTCTCCCCTTGCTCCTTTTCTTCCAGCTGTGCTGTGTCTCTTTCTGAGCTGCATGAACTGGAAGGAAGAGAATAGCAAAGAGCTTGAGGATTGATAGGGAAGATATTTTTAGGCAGAGTGCAAGTCTGAGTGCTGGAAAGGAAAGACACAGTGAAAAAGCCCTGTGAATACTTAACTTGGTCCAGCACAAACTGCTGCCTCTTTGTCACAGAGATCTGCCTCTGCTCATGGAAGCTGTGAATCTTGATTATTTTTCCAGTTATGGGTAAAAAGTTGCAAAATGTATACTTTATTCATATAGATAGATATATATATATGTATTTCAGAGGTTTTATATATGAGAGAAAATCAGTGTGTTCTGAGATCCTGATTCCTTCTTTCTGGCTTTTTAATAAATGTTGATTAAACCTTATACTTTCTGTAGTATTGAGTTCCCCTAAGTTATTGGCTTTATGGCAAATAATTTTTAGGAGTGTGGATTTTTTTTAAATTTTATTTTTATTTTCTATTGAAAGGTGTACTACTGTGCACAACTGGTCCTTCTTGGAATAGATATTATTCTAGTTGGAATGTCAGTATTTCTTCAATTTTCTCTCACTTTCATTTTTCCCCCACTTGTGTGAAGCTGCCAGGAAGGGAAGGGAAAAAAAAAGGTGTGGCAAAATTGCTGCTAATATTTCTTTACTTCCCAGCTGTAGATGCACGCTTAAAATACCATGACTCATTTTGTAAATGCTTTGATCTCCTGTGACTAATTTAAAATGCTGCTTCCCAGCAGGCATAAGGTGGTTTTACTTTCATTTGAAACTCTCCTTCCCAAGGTTTCCAATCCCAAGTTCAAGAGAAAATAAGAAAGAAAATGAAAACAAATAAATCAATCTGGCTAAACGTGGGCAGAACTTGCCCTCAGCTGTTCTTGACAATAGCTTTTGGATGACTGGTTCATGTCAGAAAAAAAGTTTTTTTTTTTTCCATTTACTTTGATTGCGTGTTTGATTTTTTTCTTCTTTTTCCTTGGCTTTTCTTTCCTTTTTCCTTGCAAGCCTCTTAGGGAGTCTTTCCTGTCCCTTGTCACGCACTTTTATTTAGAGAGAAACTTTGCTGCATGTACAGTGCGGAATCTCGTAATCTTTGGGTTTCCAGATTGTAAATTCAATTTGTTCTTCTGGGTTTCAATGAAACAAGAAGTCTTAACTTTAAACCAGAAGCTGGATCCAGCTAGACATCTGTAACTGAGGCTTCCTTTAAAAAATAATACAAAATGGCAAAAATATATAGTGGACATGAGTTTTAATAAATGTATGTGTTTTCCTTTTTGTTTTGCATTAAATCTGCAAACTTTGTCTTTATTTCCTATCGTGTTTGAATTCATGAAGCAGAACAAAGTGATTGTGTACAATTTGAAGTAGCTTCATGAAACCTAATCTTACTCTTGGAGGCAAAGCACACCATTTCCAGTTCCTGGGATGTGGAAGGGGAGTCTTCTGAGCTCTAGGTGCCCTCAAGCTGGTAGCACAGTTTTCTTTGCCTGTTTCCTCATCTGTAGACAGGGTCTAATGCTCCTTGCCTTTCCTTACCCTGTTTCCTAGCTCACGAAACACTTGTCAGAGGTGATTTCTTGTAGCTCAAAGGTAATGATTTACTATAATCTCATGTGAAATGCAGAAAACTTTCATTTTCTTTCATGTTCTGCTGAAGAAGTTTATTCCTGCTGAGGGCTGAATCAGTGTCTCAGAAATGATGGCAGGCTCCTCCTCAGGTGGGTTCTATTCCCCAGAACCCACCTGAAACAGCTCACAGGTGTTTTGTGTAATGAACCATTACACAAATGGGGTCCTCAGGCATTTAGTGTCTCTCCTCTGCTTTCAAGACCAGTTTTATGTGAATAACTTTTCTAGACAATGGAAAGGTGCTTGGAAAGGAAAATGCAGATTTGTGTGCTGTGGAGAAAGCAAGACAATGTGGGAGGGTGCAGTCCCCAACAAGCAAGATAGCAAGAACATGTGAAGCTTTGAGCTTTTTCTCATCAGCTTTCTCTTTGGCTTGCCTTAGGGTTGGGCTTCAACATTGTTGGAGGGACAGATCAGCAATACATTGCCAATGACAACAGCATCTATGTCAGCTGGATCAAAAAGGATGGGGCAGCTTACCTTGATGGCCGATTACAAGAAGGAGATAAAATTTTAGCGGTAAGCCCTTTCTTCTGTTGTCCCCTGTGTTCTTGATCAGTGATGCAATGTGAGAGGCAGGTTTTCCTTCTCAGTGCATAGACAGGAGGGATCTGGTGAATTAATTAGATGATCCCAAGCAAACTCCGAGGAGGAGATGCCTTGGGGGTCTGGGGAGAGCTCTGAGCACCAGGGAGGTGAGTGCCTCTACACATGGGCTTAGCTCCTCTGCCTTCTTGATTTGCCACAGAAATGCTCTCTGGTGCTGTGCTTGTGTTTCCTCTGTGACTTGCCTCCTTAAGGTTTTAGAATGCATCAAGCATTCTCTTGCTCACAATGGATTATCATTTACACCCACATAAATAAAGGTTTTCTACCTCTTAAATTTCCATTTTTTGAGTGGTAATCCATGATTTCTAATCCTTTTGCACAGGGGGATTTTTAGACGATAACATTTCTAGGCCATAATATTCTTCTCTTCATTTCATCTCCTCAAGAAGAACATAGGCTGCTTTCCTTTTAGAAAATTGTTTTCAAGTGTCTGATGTTCACACCCACTGGTTCTTCGGATAGCTGGCAATCATGCAAGATAAGCTTTACAAAGTGATGGGTGAAGAAGTAGCCTCTCCTAGTATGATACACAACCTTTTTGTACTCCCTAATTTTATTTCACACTTGCTTATTATGTTCCACGTGTGATCTTTTTACCCTCTCTAGACTACCTTGCAGTAATTGGGGCCTATTATTGATCCAGAAAGTGATATTAAGTTAAACAGAGAATATTCTCTTTTTCCTGACAGTTTAATGTTTGTGTACTTGTGTTTGGGATCTCTAAATATGAAGAGAAGGGAGGGACTGGATATGACCTTAGGGGTTACAGTTAGGGATAATGGGGGTGAAATTGAAAAGGTAGGATGAATTCACTCAGTGAATGAAATCAAGTGGATTATAAAACCCCGTGCCATGATATATTATTTTAAATTAAGAAAAATCCTAACACTTGCAAGTGGATCAAGTGGATGCCAAGAAGTATGTATGTAATTTTTTTTTGGTTGGCTTTGCTACATCAGTGTGCTTATAAAAGTGTGTTTACAACACTCTCTCAGAGACATTTCAAAGGTGCACCAGTAGATGAAACAAGGGAAGAGACTTAAAATAATAATTTTGCTGTAGCTGCTCTTTTATGTTGCCAGAATCATACCTTTGATTTGTTTCCAGTAAAGCAACAGCATCAGAAGCTGCTATTGACACAACTGGGGTCTTTTATTCTTATTTTGCTTCTAGGTAGTTTTTTTCAGTACCTCTCTGTTTTCACTTGGAATTTCTCATGTTCTGTCTCAACATATAAAAATACATCATAATATTAATTAATTAATTAGAATCTTTATGATTATAGTAGCATGCTCCAAATGCAGAATTTTGTGTAACATGAAGATTTTTATGTCATATCCTTCATATGTTAGCCTGCACCGTTAAAAATTTGCTTTCTTTACCTTCAGCATCTGGCTCTCCTTTTCCTTTTTTGCTAGATCAATGGCAAAGACTTGAAGGATTTGCGGCACAAGGATGCTGTGGAGCTGTTCAGGAATGCAGGCTATTACGTGTCTCTGAAAATTCAGCGCAGGGTATGTTTTACCTCTTTCTTAGGGTTATTTCTGGCTCAGTTTAGACTGGTTTCTATAATTGGTGGCTGTTTCATGAGGAAGAAGAGTACTGTGTCCAGGTGCTCAGTGTGATATGTGCATATAAAAATTTTGTTTGACCTATGACCTTCTCTCATTGCCTCAGCTGTCATTGTCTCTGTATAACTTTGTAACCAGTGTAACCTTTGTATCAGTGAAAAGATGGGTTTGGCCATGTGCCAGGTCTTTGTTTTGCTTTGGTATGTTGTGTTTGCTCACTGTTCTCCTTTCTCAGAGGTAAAGCTTTGTGTGTGAAGACAGAATCTCAAGTTGCCCAGTTTTATTTCAGTGGCCAGAATCTTACTGGAGACAGAATTCCTTTTGTTTCAGAGGCCATCACTCAAGTTAGTGTTGAACTGTGTGTGCAGCCCAGCACTACAAGACAGGCATTGAGGTGCTGGAGCATGTCCAGAGAAGGGTGATAAAGCAGGTGAAGGATCTGGAGCACAAGTCTGATGAGGAGCAGCTGGGGGTCTTTAGCTCAGGGAAGACCCTATCACTCTCTACAAGTGCCTGGAAGGAGCCTTTATCCAGGTGGGGGTTGGTCTCTTCTTCCAGGCAACAAGTGACAGGACAAATGGAGACATCCTCAAGTTGCACCAGTGCAAGTTTAGATTGGGTGTTAGGAATTTCTTCACTGAAAAAAGGTTGTCAAGCAGTGGAACAGGCTGCTGAGGGAAGTGGTTGAGTCACCATCCCTAAAGACATTTTTAAAAATGTGCAGGTGTGGTGCTTAATGGTGCTTTAATGGTAAACTTTGCAGTGCTGGGTTAATGGTTGGACTTGGAGGTCTTTCCAACATAAATGATTTTACAATAATAGGAAATATGGACTGCTATACATTAAATATATTGGCACCATTTTAGATGTAGAAAGAGATAAACCCTTAATCCCCAGATAGTATGGAAATTGACAAAAGAAATACTGATCTACCCAAAGCATGTTGGGGAGAGGTGGCTTGAGATCCCTGTTCTACTCCCTTAACAAAGGAGTATGTCTGCTGGACCCGGTGTACAAGGCAGGTAAGAAAACCAGAGAGAATTACTGATGTCTTTTTCCTGATAAAGAGAACAGGAAATGGTGTGGTGGCAAGTGCATCAAGGGGTGATTGGGTATGTGTGTGTCATTTGTCTGCTGTGTGAGGTGTGTCCTGCTCCACTTAAGTCCTAGTTTAGAAAGTGGCAGAGAAACATGAAGGTGCCTGGTAGTGACTGGGTACCCTGCATTTGAGTTCAGTCCATCCTAAGCTGTTTTAACCCTCCATGTGTGGAGTCTGCAGGTACCTGGGGAAACTATGTGACCATTCTTACAGAACCACCTGGTCCAGACACAGAACTGGGGGCTCTCTTGTTATGGGTTCTGACATAAATAATGTTTTTTTCCTTGCAGTTGCAGCCACAGAATGGCCCTGTGGGTCATGGAGGAGATGGAGAATCAGGTGGGCTTCCTCTGGCAGCCATTCTTGTGCCAGGCCTGGCGCTTGCTGCCACAGCAGTCTGGATCTTGCTGAGGTATCGACAGCGGATGTGAAGAGTTCACGGCTGGGATATCACTGCGTATTTCACACAGCTATGATGCAATTTAAAGATAGAGAATCAACAATCTTGTCACAGACTGATGCCAAAAAGGATCATTGCCTATCATCAAAGTTGCTGCTGATGTTCGTATATATTGATTTTGTTGCAGGGTGGATAGAAACAGAGAGAAAAAAGGGAAGGGAGAGGACTGTGTTTATGTAACGAGTGGGATAGCTGTATTTTTTGACAAATCTGAGGAGGTTTTGCCATCCTCCTCTATTTTGCACCGTGAACTTTCAAGCACACTCATCTATTCCACATTTTAAGGTTTAACTTTTGGTTAAAGGGAGTGGGAGTTGGGGTGGTTTTAAATCAAAAACATTTTCTAGATGCTTTGCCTTGTTTCCACAGAATTTTTTCTTGAATCTAATGAATTCTGTCCAAACCATGAATAAAGAGAAGCAACGCAAAGGGTATATTATTTTTCCCATTGAAGTTTTGTTGGTTGTTGCTAAATAAATGCCTTAAATGTGTAAAATCTGATCTGTGTTTTCGCAGGTAAAATCTTCAGTGTAGCTGCTGATTTAACAGCAATATGCAGTATTGGTGAGACATTTTGCCAGTTGTGGAAAGATAGAAGATAGCTTGCTGCTAGAAGAAGATTTTGATTGTCAAAATGATTGCTCATTTTTGGGTCAGAGTTGTAAGAGAAAGCTTTCCACAAAATACTAGCATACTGGAGAGAGACAAGCAGACAACTGAATCACAAGGATAAATGGTGGCAAGAGATTCAGGCATGCTGAAGCTGCAGAAGAGTCTTTAAATTAGTAGTGAAGCAATAGTTCCTCCATTCATCAAGTGGGTTGAAGTCTGCATCTCTCAGGTTAGAGGTCTGGTTTGGGGGTTATTTTTTGCACAGGGAATACTTCAGATAGAGTTTTCTATAGCAGCTAACTTGCTCTCTGCAGTCAGGAGAATCTTATGGTGATTGAAACGAAGAAGCTGAGAGCAGGCTGGGATTGTCCTGGCTTTTGCTTGTTTGTGAAGAGAAATGTGATGTTCAGGAGATGGGCAGTCAGCTTTAAGCCAGGGTAAAGCCTAGCAGGTAAAACCAGAGGGAAGAGACCCTCCTCTGGAAAGTATATGGCTGAATTTACCTCCAGGGTCTCATCTCCTCACTGTGATTTGAATAGTTTTAAATGCCCCAGCTGATAGGAGCTCTGTGGGTAAGACCTGTTTCTCTTGTCTCCAAGAAATCAATGTGTTATGTTGTTTTTGTAAAAGAAAAGCAAAATGCATGGTCTGATCTGTATGATGCCAAAGAAGAAATCACATATGCAATATATGTTTTCAAAGAAAAACTGGTGTCTTGGTGCTTTACTTATCTCTACTCTCATAGGACATTGCTGATGTATTTGAAATTGTGTTTGCTCAGGGCTGTGTTCCTGGTGTCTGTTGGAGATAGGAGTGGTTATGCTGTTGAACATGGCATTCCTAAATCACCTCGGAGTTTCAGAGCACTTGGATCACGTGAAATCTTGCTTTGGCATATAGACTGCTCTAGTGTAAGGGGAAGAGGAAACAGGAAGAATTTTGCTCCATGTTCTTAGGGGACGTTGGGAGCAATATTGATGTTGACTGGCCTGGGCTAAGCTGTGCAGTGACTTGCCTAGGCCTGCAAACCAGTTGTGCATGATAGCAGAAGGGCTGCCGTGTAGACAGATCTTTGCAGCTACAGCATGAACCAGCTGGTTTGTGACCTGCTCTATATTTGGCTGTGGTGTCCATGTGCAGCACATGTGTCTATTAAGATGGATGATTAGAAATTGAGGCTGTTTTATCACAGCTTTCAGAATAAAGAGGCAGACACTAAGAAAATGGCCTGTCTTGTTAGCTTTTGCCTGAATTGAGTTTCTGTGATGAAAAGTAGTATGTGGAACAGGATAGGATGAGAATTTATGGAAGCTAATGGTTAGTTTTAGTAGTTTCTAAACAAACCATTGAAACGTTCGTTTGAAGTAAGAGAAAGCAAAACCTTTGGGATTTTTTGTTTAACCTTTCAGCTTTGTGACTTTGATACTGTTCAGACATGATTCCCATCTATATTGCAGGCAGTTTATTACGGAGGGGAAGGGTTATAGTCAATGCTCGGATAATTGGTGTGGCTTATTAAAAAAGAATAGGCCCTTCTGGTGCATGGTGTTCACAATTATTGAGCTGCCACTCAGTAGCTTTTTCAGAAGTCTGGGTAGTAGTTTTTACTCAGGACTTAAACCATCCAGTCTAAAAGTAACATCTTTGTGTACCTGCCTGGTACCAAACAATCCCTTTTCCAATCTCCAGTCACCTCTTGTCCAATTTATTGACAAAACCCAAGTGGAAAATACCTCAGCCCCAAACTCTCCTGTGAACTGTGGCTCATACTACTTTCTTTCAGCAGCTGGACTGTCTTACCTAACCTTTCCATGATTTTCCAAAGTATTTTCCACCATGTGGTTTCTGAAGCCTTGATTTCATCTTTGCACTAAATACTGTATATACATTTTCTATCATTGTAGAAGAAGCAAATTTTAAAAAATCTAATGAGGACAGCTTGTAAATACAAGGGATCAGAGAGGGCTTTACCTTTGGTTACAACTTAAATCTCTGGGGTTTTTTTAAAAAAGATAAGTTGAAATCCTGAAGACAAACAGAAAGCATCCTAACTGTAGTTTATGTTTGTTTTGTTTAAGAACTTATTTACCATTAATATTGAGGGCAGCTGAAACTCTTAAATACCCATGTTTCTCTCCCAATCTCATCCATTCCCTCAAATGTATTGTGAATGTGCTGATCTGCTGAAAAATGGATTTTCAGGTCTATAATTTAAAGACAAATCTATCTAATTTGACTTTATGTATATTCTAAGCATTTGTGTCTCAGTCTTCAGGATTGTATGTGCTAATAATATGTATTTTACTGAAGCATAACAGTGAGAGAGAGCAGCTAAACTTGATCTGAGGATTGGTAGATGCACTACTTCTGGCAGTTTTTAATTAACACAAACTAGAAAGTGGTGTGTGGGAGGGAGAACTGTCTTGCTTTCAGTTTGCCTTTAGGTTCCAACAACTGGTTTGTGAAGTTATTCAGTGCTAGATTAAAGAGGCCTCTAATAACTGATAGTCCCTCCCTTTGAGGGGATTTATGTGTTGTAATTGCCTTACCTCTCACACTATTTTTAAGAGCTGAAGCCAACTGAGCCCTTTCAGATTCTCTGTGTAGGGTACTTTCTCTCTTGTAGTAGTTTCTGTGGTTCTGTGTACCCTTTCCAGTTTCTGTATTGCTTTGTAAAATCCAGACACCCCAACCACATGGGACTCCCACTGCTAACCATGCTAATGCCCCATACAAGGAGCTTTTAATACCATATGTGTCTGCCAACTTTAACTTTTGTTTGTTAAGGTATGGATAAGTACAAAGCACATTTAAGCCAGCTCCCAAGAACTTGCTTTTTCTTAACTAGCTTTTCCAAGTCTCTTAGGAGTGGCATACAGCTTTGCCCTTCTTCATGTGCTATCGCAAGTGCCCTGAGGACTCTGTAAAAAAACACCCTTGTCCCATGAGGGATAACTTCTTTTAGTTTGTAGGTTAAAAGAGTGATTCCATTTGGTCATAGTGGAACACTAGAAACATGTTAAGTGCCTGTATATTCCAACTTCTAAATCCTTGTCCATACCCAATGTGACCTGCCTGGTGTGAGGGAAGGTATCTGACTTTACATTTTGTTGAATGACTGCACCTCCTGTTTGCATTCACTGTGCGCTGACCAGCCAAGATTACTGTCTGGTTTTGCCTTCTGCTAGATCCACAAAAATAGTGAATGGAGTTTGGTACAGCAACTTCCCCCCACAGTTAGGAGTTATCAGTAGCTGTGGGCATCTCCTGATTTTGGGATTCTTTATCTGTTTAACAGATGTATTTTTATAGCGTATGGCATTGATTTTTTTAAAAATACATCTATTATTTTTTTCAGCATGTTGCATAGTACTAAGTAGATTATGTCTGAGTGGTAAGTAAACTTAACCTGTTCTTTTGCTGACAGAAGCTGATACAAGGGTAAGGGTTAGGTCAGGTGAGTTTTATGAGCCAGTGTTTTTCCCCATCGTCTTTCCTAACTTACTGATGTGGGCTTTACTTATGGAAGTTATTTTTCTCTGCTCATGTTGAAGGAAGGAACAGATAACTTACTAAAGGGACAGTGTCCCTTTTTAGTGAAAGTTAGTTTTCTCTTCCATTTGGAACACGAACTTGGCATTGTGACTGCCCTTGTTCTGTCTGGTTTGTCAAGTGTTGTAGGACGGATCACCAGAACAGGAAGCATGAGCATGTGTGTGAGGTAGGGGAGGCTGTACAGTTAGAGCAGTAAGAGGCTCTGGTCAACACTGAACTGAGCCCAAAGAGCTTTACTCCGTGGATATGGATGTTAGAAGGAAGTAATATCTTGCTAAGTATCAATATCTTAAGCAGGGTAGTTTGGTTTCTACAGCAGTGACAGCTAGATTCCAGTTTTGTGAGTGCTTCTGAAGACCTCTGTTGGTGTGGTGATAACTCACAGCTTCAGGCCTGCCCTTTTTTGTCTTTACCACATGTCTGTCTTACCTTTCCAAGTACCTGAGCATGGTGGTGCTGGGGAATTAATGCTTGCAGTTGGTAGAGCTTGGCAGTTGACATCAGACCTGTATCTCATTTCTTGCTATGGGCTGGATGTGCAGGATAGACAGCTCTTAGAGTTAACCAGCCAGATGACTGTATCTTCCACCTGGGGAAGTGCAGCAAAAGTGCAGTTTGTGCTAAGCCTGTCATTCTGCTGGGACAGACTATTTCCAGGGAAAGAAGGAAGAAAGAAAGTTCAGCAAAGGCGAGCAGAGTTTTGGAAGGAATACTGTTCTTATGCTGGAGAGCAGGGTTGTCTGTAGATCTGTGGCTAACATCCTGGGAAAAGCTTTCTGGGGAAATTTAAAGTGGATAAAAAAAAGGACTGAAGAAAGCCTGTTTGTCCTTGCTCATAGTGAGTGTGTGAGGAAAGTGTGCTCCTAAAGAAAAGAAATCAGATCTAAAAGAAATGATAGCTTAACCTGGCTCAGTAGGACTGCTAGGGCTGGGAGGGGGAAATTGGGGGACACAGCTGGAGCTGGCTGATTTGAACTCAGTGTTTTCTGGGAATGCAGACGTAGCAGTGTAAGGCATAAACTGCTTTTTTTTCACCTTTGACACAGTGGCTGCCTACTTCAGCTACCCTAACTGTAATGAGAGCTTGATGAACCACAGAGCTACTCTGGATGTTAATAGCACAAATAGACTAGAACCTGTTTCCCTGAATCACTGGAAATTTATGGTTCACAGTTTTCAAGGCAGTTTGCTGATATTAATTGAAAGAGACCAAGTTGTTAAATGGAAAATAGTCTTAAGTTAGATGATTCTGTGTTTATTAACATTCATTCAAGCAGGAAAAGGCCTGGCTCCTTAAGGATATATTTTAAATTTAGAAAATTTG